GTTACAATGACTGACTAATATCTTTTTGACTACACGTTAGACATCACCGAGTCTTCTATGCATGGAAAACATCACCGCTGTGGAAGAAACCAAYGTCAAAGGATTCAAGTGTATTAAAGTCAGTACACATGTCAAAGATAACAGAGATCACTTGCTGCGAGCTGAGGTAAGATACAAAAACCTTCAAACTATATTCTTGCACATAACCGGTACTAGTTTCTAGGTTTAATGTAATTMWTACGATAGTGTCGTGTGTASTTRTGTATGTTGTTATGTACTTAATGCCCTTTGTTTCTGCTTATCTCCAAATGAAACGAASATCTGAATAAAAATAAAAATGCGCAAAGTATTCTGGTAGTTGTAGTAGCTAAATGACGTCATCGTGAAATCGACGTAATAAGGAAGACTAGATATTGTTTAGCAGCTTCAGTTTAACCTTTTCGTAATCTCGATGTGTTTTTATACATTTGTAGGATTTTAGTTGGTTAGAAATGCGCAACTTGTGGTCTTTTTAGCATATGCAATATTTCACTTATTGATTTCTCTTTTTTTCGTTTCGAAAGACTGAAACAGAATTTCGGGAATGGCTGAAGGAGATCAAGCAGTCGTTTCAGCAGGCCCAAGTAATGCTGCGTGCAGGCTTTAAAATCATAGGAACAGGTCACCGCTATGTCACGCAATACAGTAAAGAAGAGAATGGTCCTGTCTCGCCGTGATCGCTAGACTGTTAATTAGCCTTGTGTAAATACTAGGAATGCGGCTGAAAMTGCAGTTTTCGTATGAGTGGTGAGTCATTGAATTGCTGCATCAGTGACTTGATGCATTAGCACACATGGAAATGTCGTGCGCTAGTCTTTTGTCACACACCTATTGCGTGACTTACCCAAATCATCCATTGAAGAAGCGAAAGAGAGTAGAGATTAAAATATTGGTAGCAGCTCAGTTAAACCCAATCAAATCACGTGATAACGTCTTACTTTAGCGGTATCTATGGTGATGGGCTGCCTAATTGTTTGTACTTGGATGGCATGCATTTGAAAGGTCATTTGTTGTATACAGTGAAGAACGCTAYAAGATGGGCGTTACTTCCATCCATAAACGAGACTATGGTCGGCACATTAGAGTAGTATGCTGTAACTCGTCAACATTAGGGGTGAWAGAATTCATATTTTGCTCTCTAGAAAGTGGTTAGGAGGCCCTATCTACACGCTTTGTACACGATTATTGTAAACGACTATAAATATATCTGTTAACATCATCGTTTTTAGATCTGTTTTACTTACAGACTAAGCGTTCACAAACATACCTTTTTCAATAGAAGTATTCAAGAAGATCACTGTTGACAGAGCTTTGACTGGTTCCTGGCAGTAATGGGCATGCTCTTTAAGAGCTTAGTCGGCCACTCAATTTGTTTGCGTGTATAGTTTTATAAATGTTTGCGACTGCCCACATGTTCACCTTAAAGGCGTTTTAGAAAATAATCGTTTACAAGCGTTAAGACAGGAATACGAGAGAAGTCTAAACTGGTCTCCAGTCCCTTCTCWWWGAAGTAATGGTTATCACGTGATTTGCTTCGCTGGGCTAATTTTTACATAATACACAGGATGCCCAATGAAAGAATCCTGATGAAAATACTGTACGTTGTAATTGATAAAGAAAGGGGTTCGTATTGGCATAGTTTACAGAAATGGACAGAAACAGATAGTGAATTGATTTTAATTTTTCCGTGATATTTTAGAACAATTTTGGCAGGAGTTTGAAATACATTCATTTATAACTCAATTTCTATTTAGTTTCTTGAGGGTTTTAGTTCATTTTATGATGTCAAATTTTATCCATGAAAAATTAAGACTGGCGATGGAAGTAGCTTCTCTGGCTGAGATAAAGCAAAGTGTGCAAAAGAATCATTGTATAATAGAGATTAGAAATAGTGATAATATCCCATAAATTATAATACACTGGCCAAACAGTACCAAGGGAACAGAGGGTGGGCAGATTTATAAATCCTACAGAATTATCGAGAGAAATCATATTTAGCAAATTAAAAAAGAAACCTAGTTGAGAACTTATCCATACTAGTTCGTTTATCAGCAGTTTTTGTTCTCTGTGAAAACGATACGAAAGCGAATTAGCGTGGTTAGGTATATAATTATTAATTATATTATATGATTGATGTTAATTGTTATTATATTAACTAGTATTCATTCGTTCCCTTTGAAAAAAATAGCCTAAGAAACAAGTCGAGTTGGTTCAAAGCCGTGGCTGTAAATATAACCGCAATTCCGATTTCGACTGTTTCTCAAACATTAACTTTCTAGTCCAAGAGTCAATAATCTTTAGACATTTATGAAAAATTGCCACGAAAGTTTTATATTAACCATCATCCAAAAAATCGGAAACGCAATACTGTAATACCCCACAAGGCATTGTGGGAACTAGTGAATCACCGCCATATTATTTGGTTTCCTTTTTTCGAGTAGCATCAACGGTCTGTATAACGCCTTAGATGCGTGATAGCTGCCTCAAGAAGATTGAGAGTAACGAGCAGATTTGTATTAGTCGAGGCAGCCATCTTGGATCTAGCTTTTATAACCGCTATTGTGCATACAGTTCTCGAGTCATGTGATCAGAAGTAACCTGTAATCAATTAATTTTAAAGCTAATCTGGCATAGAAGTGTTAATTGAACAGTGTTCAAAGCTTTGAGGGAGGAGTACCTCGATATTCATGTCCAGTGATGTTCATGCTGGAGAGTGAGTGWTGTTCATGCTGGAGAGTGAAGRGGGYGRATATAAAAGGGGGTTGGAGAAGAAAAATATAATATCGAGATCCTCCTTCCTCGGTTATTCTCAGTATGTTCATCTGTGTGGCTTTTTGCATGGAATTATTCCTTCGCTAGTCTACGTTATTTTAAATAGATCAATAGATATTTTAACTCAAATTACAGACCGATATTTTTTAGTTCTTTATTGTACAAAAGCTCCATTTATCATTGGTGAGGTGTATTATAGTATGAATTGAACAATGAAATCTGTGACGACCATCGTGGAAGGTACAGAGAGCGAAAGTGCAAGAATGCCTACCGCCGACTGAAAGCCAGTTCAYACAATTTCTATCATAAAATTGCAAGCTTTATTTCATCAATAACAGAAAACTGCAATGAGAGTTTCCCATTGAAAAAGATTTGAACTTGAAACAACTTTCTTTACCTTCAAAGGTGGCCGTCGCTTTGTACATTGATGTATTGAATGAAATGTTTTCCAGTAAATTGCATGTCATTCAATGAACTACGAAGAATAATCTTCTCTGAGAATTAGGCCAACATGATGCTTGTGATGGCTGCTATTTAGTATTTTAAAGTAAATAAAATATTATGACATAATATCAAGTAAGAGTTTGCTAATTCTTTTAGGTATAGACAGGAATGGGTCTAACGTTCTAAATGCCAATTCACTCAGAGAAATAAATATTGGTATGTGGAAATGTGTTTGTTTTGTTTGAGTTTCTTTACTGTACGGATTAGGGACGAATATCGGATAAAGATTTTCATTCGTAAARGCATAGYTAATAGAAAAGCAGAGATTGTCTTGTGGGACATAGTATAATGGGATGTGTATGTTAATCTAAAAAGWGGGTAAACAAAAACAAGTMTATGCAAAAAAACGTCTTTCTTGGTCTTWGAATTCCTGCATTGAACTTTTCGTTATATCCGCCATGCTGGATGGAGATAGTAAAGCATTGATAATTGTGTTCATTGATCCAACATGGCGGTGCGTTGGTTCTTATAGTTTTGTGGTTACGACCAACATGCAACTCGTGACAGCTGCAGCAAAGCACGATGTCCTGACAATGTGTGGTATGTCAAGTACAAATCAAGTCAAAACATAGGAGGCATAATAACCKCCATGTTTTGAYTCACATACAGGTCTAAAAACAGGAAGCCCAAATGGGGGAGGCTTTGTAGGCCTAAATCAGTTTGAATGCATTATGTGGTTGCATTGGTTCAACAGTAAGAGTAACAATAAAATAAAAAAACGGTACATAAACAATTACCTATTACAAATAAGATTATGTATCATTTGATTTGATCGAAWTAGTATGCGCATCATCTCCCTGTGGCCGAGCAAACTTGGTAATCAAGCCATATACACGCTCTGATTGGTCGATGAAATTACTTTATTGAGTATCATATGCAACACGCACTCTTATTGGCTGTTTATGGCAGACGTCCGAGACATGGTTTCCGGCATTTCGTAAACGTGTCCTCGAAAGGCAAAAAAATATATAAAAAAAATATAAAATAGACTTTGTATTACAAAAAACAATTTCAATTATCGTTAAAAAGATTTTAAAATCTGGTTGATGTCAAGAAATTCGCAAAAACAATCACAGCTTGGGAATACTTCTGCGAACTATTCTAGAATTAACTTCAGATTAAAATTTATTTTCCAAGTTAAGTTGTTTAGATGTCCAGTTTTTTTATTTTTTAAAAACTGCTYAAGCCCCAAAAAATCATCATAGCCATGGTAACGCCGATTGTTCAAAATTTTGAACTTAACCATGTCTCTAGGAATCAATAGAGGCTATGAATGTATGGTCGAGAAGATAACTACAGGGCTCCACCTTAAATATAGCTCGTGATAAGCAGGCAACTAGTTAGCTGCATCATGATGTCTAACCGCCGACCGGTTAGCTCAGTAGGTAGAGCATCGGACTTTAGTGCGGGAGGTCGCAGGTTCAAACCCCGGCCGGACCAACACTCATCAGGGTCTTAAAATAATTGAGGAGAAGTTGCTGCCTTTGTCTTTCTCCATCTGCAAATGGTAAGATCTTCGCGTCCTCTCGGATAACGACGTAAAATCGGAGGTCCCGTCTCTCTACACTTCACTTACTAACCTGTATTAGAGGGACGTTAAATAACCCACACCACTGTTCGCATAAGAGTAGGGAATGATTCCCGGTGTGTGTGGCTAGGCCTTACTACTAACCCATACTAATTACTAACCCCTCATGATTGTAAGCCGCGTGGCTGCCAATTGCGCCTTAAACAGCGGTCCGTGTGAAATGATCTATACATGTGAAGCGCCTGTGAACTCAGAGGATATCGGCGCTATATAAATACCACATATTATTATATATCATTATTATTATTATTATCTATAGTAAGGCCAGCGGAAAAAGGCGGTACCGCGAGAACGTCAAGGAATATCTTATCATRAATTAACTCTATTCATGATTTTTCCGCTTTTTTCTCTTCTTATTCTCCTCCTTCTATTCGTTACCGAAGGTAAATTAGTAATCCCGGAAAAAAATATGTTTAAGTAGGCACATTAATTCTATTCCAGAMAGTGAAGATCAGCTTGAAGGAGTCAGTGGATTAAAGATAAGCTATATTGGAATCTACTGAGTCTGGATAGCAGGCTTTTTCGTATCTAATTTACCTAAAAGTTCTCATTTTCTTTGAATGTAAGAAGCATAGGAAAAGTAGACTTTTCTTCGTTGTTCTGAATTTCGGTGAGTTTTCATCGTTGTAACAAAATTTAGAATTCGTAACTTTCTTCATTTCATATTGAAAGAAGAGGTATGGATTTCTAAAACTCTGTGTTGGGAACGGTTTTTCTTAACGTTTTTTTTTTCTTTTTTTTGCCATTGTTTTTTCTCACCTATTACTTAAAGTGGCCTTTCTTTTAAATCTTTTTTGAAAAAGTTTTGATCATCCCCCAGGCACTGTRATATGTAATATGGAGCCATGCAACACGCCAACATATCATTGTCCATTGGGGGTATTAATAACAAACAATATTTATATTGACTTGTATGGTTTATTGATGGTTGTTAAGAGTTTTTAGAGTTTTATGTCTTTGATTACTATGTTCTTAGATCTTTGAAAACCCTCGACTACGAAACACCTGCCATGTGAAACCTTTGTTTGCTTGTAAACATCTCACACTAGGCTCCTTACAAATCTTTATCCTTTTTAGGACAACACAAATAATTACTGTTCTTTCTTTTACACTGCAAAGCTCGTATCATAGTTCAACCTTTCTTCGAAAATAAAGCAACTTTTTAAATGCCGTTACTATTAATTCTAATCTTGAACTTAAAATCTTCAAAGTGACTCTTTTGTTTTCCTGRAGTTCAAAATCACGGAGTAAAGGCTTCAAGATGGAACAAATTGAATTTTAAAGTTGTCAAGATGTTATCGACATTGAGAAGGTCTCGACTAAAGTGACTCGCTTGTTTGATTGTTAGGATCAATCTAGGAGCAATTTCAAGCTACTTGAAGCTCTTTAATTGCGATTTTGAAGCTTTCCAATGACATTTCGTGAGCAGAAAAACGAATATTTTAAAGTTTAAAAGATTATTTCGAAACAAATTTGAAAATTGAATACTCTAATCCTGTAAATACTGTATTTACCTTGCATTACGCTATGCTACTACCTCTACTGATACTGTTTTTTTCAGGAAAACACGAATTGTATTTCCACAAGCAGTTGCAACTTTACTAGGACAAACTTCGTTTACATTGTTTACAAGATGAACTAAGACGTATTATCTAAACATCTGTTTTTGCTTTTCTTTACTAAACGAGTTTCTAACAATCACTTTTAAGTTTAGTTTTAAAAATACATGCCACTTTTTTTTTCAAGTAGCCTTTCTTGATTAAATAGCCGGAAGCAAAACTTTTTTTATAAACATTCTAATTACAAATGTTCCAAGCTCGTTGTATCTCAGGAGAAACTCACATACAGTATATGATTGCATGTCCTTTGTTTTTAAAGTGGCTATTCTGTTCTTAATAGATAGGAGTTTCTATTTTAATTTTCATGTAATTTTCCTAAACGATGTACTAACGACTTTTCTCGTGGATTCTGCCACCAGTGCATCTCTGTTAATAGCAAAGAAATAAGGCTTAAATGACATTAAAGAGAACCAAATACTGCCCCCTACCTCGAATGGTATCATTTTCGCTGCTTTGTTCTTTGGATATACACACCAAACTGAGAAACGTGTGCCGCGAATCAAACTATTGTTTTGATACGTGTGCCAGGGTGTAAACTCTATCAAGACCTTCAGGTTGGTATTGTTAGCTCAAACACCTTGAGAACTTTCACATATAAAGTTTGCTTTGTTTAGCGGGCAACTAGTGAAAAAGTCAAACTATTTTGCAGTATTCACTTCCCCATAGAGGGTTTTATTCACCGCGTTTACGCTAAAATCATAGCATGTTGTGAATGGTTCAGAGGTTGATCAAATGGACAGATTTCTCTGTTGACGTACTCCAAGTTTTTATTGTTATAGTACTTTACTTGTCCAATCACAGACCTTCATGAAAACGTCCAACTCCCCAAGGCTTTTAAAGAGGTTTTGTTCAACATTGTAATCGAATTCCGCCTTCGATTATCTACGGGATAATGACGTATAATTGACAGTATGGACTGTGGTATAATAGCCAATAATTGAATAATGAGCACCTTTAATTGAGTTCGTAATGTGACGAGAGGTCATAAAAGGTTTTTCCAGTCTATTTCGGCCCTTTTAACATGACAATACTAGGCAAACCCGGGGCTTTTATTAATGTATTTGGATCACACTAAAACGCTTAATAAAGCCAGTTAAAAGTCCGTGTGTTTGATTAAGAAATTCATCCATCTGTCAATCACGACATCACCATTCAATAGCCATCGAGGAACTCATTTAAAGACTGAAGTTCTGCAGCACCATAAACTAATATCTTCAACTCACGGAAGGAACACAGTCAAGTTGGTATAAACGCCCAAGACGATGTTCTACCAAGACCCGTTCTTGTTCTATCAACAGTCACCACACTACATGTCGCATAACAATGTCGTTGTTCCTCARCCCAAGTATAATTCCCACATGATGGGAGACAATATTTGTGGTTCTTCTTCTTCTCAYTCGTGGGTGCCCAAACAACCTTCTCACTACCAAGACGTGTGTCCGAGCAAAACGTCACCACATAGTTCATTTGACTGCGGCATTCCGCCATTTTTGTCTCACAACTCGCTTCCCAAACCAGGACAAACCCAAGGTAGGCAGAAAYTATTCTCTCTTGAAATGAAATTTGAAAAACTGTAAATTTTAGCATTAWTTGGTTCTTTCAATAATTGCAAAAAAATCAAMAGCTCAGGTTTGCAATCAATGCTGTAAAGTGTTTGATTTTCAAATCATCTGAATTCGAAAAGTCGACGTTTAGTGGTTTAGTGAAAGGTCGTTAGCCTGTATTTCTTGTCACAAAATATTGCCCGCTTCTGAGCATATAAGGCCTTAATTAGCCATTAAAAGTCACCAGTTATCGCCTTACAAAACTGTACATTAGGGATAGTAGGATGCTTTGCCGTGGCGCATTTGCAGCATTTTATAAAGAGATTTGACAAGAAAAGATGAGGATATTGTTGGTTTTTAATGTAAGGTGGTAAAAGCAGAAGGTTCTTAAGCAAACAAACCAAAAGTCATGAAGTTAAGTGTATTTATTTTTATAGGACTTGAAGTTTGTTGTCAGATTTCTGCAATAAAGCATTTCATATAGTCACATATACGAAAAAAGCTTAGGCTTCGTGGTCGCGTGTACTTTCGAAATAGCATTAACACGCTAAAATACTACTCGAAAAGATGCTAGCAAAAAAAACTACAGCTCGTGAAAACTTTACTTCGCCGGTTAGGAACAATAAGTGTATTGCTAGGATAAAAGAAATCATCAGAAAGAGTTTTATGGTATATTCATCTGAAATGTACTTTTATTCGCTCATGTTTTTGAAGAACATTGAAATAGAAAATGTTTATGGCTTTTGCTATTTGATTTCAATGCATACTGTATTTGCAATTTACTATGATCGTCAAGTATCTTGCTGTTTATCAATACTTGTGCCCTTGGGGAGAGTTATTGTCTATATTTTTATCATTTTTTATTGAACTGTTTATTCTCTTATTCTAGGGAGTGATCCACGCAATGATGTTTTACACAGTCTGCCAGTGTACTTTCGAGTCAAACCCAGTCTTCGAACTCCAAGCGGTCGTAAATGTCGCAAGTCCAGAACTGTTTTTACAGACCTTCAACTTCGAGTCCTGGAGAAGACCTTTTCTGAGCAAAAGTACCTTGACTCTACCAGCAGAGCAAAGCTTGCACAAATCTTAGGCTTGAACGAAGCACAGGTGAAAACATGGTTTCAAAACCGACGCATGAAATGGAAAAAGAAGAACATTAAACCAGGAGAAAAAGAAAAGAACGAAAGCACAAATTCTTCCGCAAAAGACAAAACTTCATCTTCTGGAGTTACAAAGAAAGTTGACCAAAATCAACCCAGTGAGACTCAACAAGAAACGGCAACAACCAGTACCTCACAAGAACAAAACCTTCAAATGGACATTACTCTTGCTTGCCCAGAAACAACACAAGCAACAAGCACTATTCAGTGACTTTTACTTTAAGACAGTTAAAGAATATCTAGTTAAGTTTCATAAAAGTTGAAACTATAGATCACAATATAAAATATATATATTATCAATAAGCCTGTACCGCTGTCGATAAACACCATAAACTAGTAGAAAGGTGTTGTCCTTTAGGTTGAAACTCATGCATTGGCCTTGTAGGTCTTCTCGAACGGCCACATTGTAGCGAGTATTGAATTTTATTCCTATGATAATAATAATATAGCTAGTGCAAGTCAACATCAAAAATATCTAAATATTCACGTCAAAAAAAACCACTTCTCACTATATTTAAATGTTACATAAAGCGTTTGATTTCTGTAAAGGGAAGTTTTCCCGTGGGTTGGGAGTTTTTGATACAACTGATTATGAAATTTTTTAGTAGTTCAAAAAGGCTGTATGCTATGGAAGCGACTCTCAAATTCGTGAAGGCATTTTAGTTAGCTGAAAACATATACATATGTGTAGGCCATGAATACTTTTAGTTGATTTAATTTTGGATGATGTAATTTTGTTTAAAATCCATTTGACTTTATAAATACTATTCTTCCCAACTTGATAAAATACGAATGAGATCAAGTAGCGAAAAATCGATTTCTACATTTGTTTGAAATTCTGTATCACTATATGGGTACGAAATGTCGCCTTGCGTTAAGAATAAGCAAATAAAGTGGACTATTAAAGAGAAATTGCATTGAGTGTCTTCCTTCCCGCTTGTAGGAAAAACCTGCCATGTTCACAGAGGTCCAAGTTTAGTTCCCCGGGCGACAAAGCGCGTTGTAGCATGGCATTTGTTATTAAACTTTTGTCTTTTTGCGACCCAAATGAAAGTTGTTGACACAAGCAATAAAAGAAAGGATTTCAGCTTTACTTCAGTCACGGAGCAGGAGAAAAGACTTACTTTTGGCAGATGGCGTACAGATCTGTTATATTAACTACAGTGTAGCAGTGTTTCTATGAAGGGATTTTTTAGGAACATTTCTGCAAATCTGCAAGTTACTTTTCACTGGTAAAATGTGCCATTCCCATGCATTTGGCATAAAAAAAACTTTGATGTGATAGGTTTAATATTGAATGGTATAAACTCTATTGAAAAAAAGTCAACATAAGGCCTGACTATATACAACTACCTACAGGAGGTCTGAAATATATAGTATTTATTATTCGTATATGATTCGTATATCAGAATTAAATGTAATATTCAATTAAATATTGATTTTATTTAATGAAGAGAAAATAACTGAAATAAAAATGAATCCTTTTTGCAATTTGGCCGCCATGTTTCGCGAGTTTCCTTCTCCGCCACGTCATCCTMTGTAAAACATATACTGGACATTCATTCAGACTTATATTCTGATGCTTAATATACCCAAGACAACAATTATTTTCTTTTTATTTACTATCTTATTTGACTTCGGATTTAATCTCTGTCGCTTGTATCTTTTACCTTCCTCAATCATCGCTTTTAAATGTCAAAAATGTTTTCATAAACTCAGTATTGTCGTTCTAAAATTTCCTAAGGAAATAYTCTTTTTAGTTTGATTTAAAAAGTTCAAATCGAGTTTATTTTGTCTTTGTAACTTACGAAATAGAATATGGTAAAATGTCAAGGATTTTTTGGAGGTAATCGACTGAGGCAAAAATATCCGATCACAAGATGACGGTTCCTTCCTTTGAATGTTCGCTTCGAGTACTAATTCTTTAATTGTCCACGAATTTCAAATCATTAGATCTTTACATTTGAGAAAATGTGAACTCTGACGCAGATCTTATAAATGGTTTGTGTTYCATCGATTTTTCTCCTTCAAGACAAATTAGTGTTGAGAGTAAAGTAAAGACAAAATGGCCGACATATATTTTAACCTTTGCAATTACAGTTTAGAATATAAACTTGATCTTTTGAAACTTTTTAAGCTCTATTTTGAAGTTTATTAATTGGATTTGATGACAAATATCCTATATCTAATTAAACACAAATGGTAGATTTTTTTCTTTTCACTGGGTTCTTAATTTATTCCTTGTCTTCATTTCATTTTTTCACTTTCCTTTCTTCCTTTTTGCTCTTTTCATTTTATTTGTCATTTATTCTTCCTTTTTCTCTTTAACACTGATACAATGTAACCCCCTTTTTCTTTATTTATTTGCTAAAAAAGACTGTAGCAATTAAAACTTAGAAAAACATTCCCGGCAAAGAAAACTACATCTAAACGTTGAAATTGAGCCGCTGAAGTGCTTTAATTGTACTTCACTAGAGGAAGAAGTAAACGAGTCCATTAAGACAAACTTTGGGAATATCTGTTACTCATTTCCTTAGTTTAATGTAATAATTGACTCACAATAACTAATAGACACAGTGCAAGTCTTTGTTTCTATTAAATGACTCTTAACTCACAGTAAATCTTCTAACCGTTCGACTAAATCGATTCATTGAGCCCAAGTGACTACGCGTGCCTTGGGCCGGAAAAACGAGTCGAATTAGCCTGAGATCAATCGGTATTACAATAGTAATTCCACTAATACGTTTGTGGCTTCAGCTCTATCACTATCGATAGAGTTATTATAAGATTGCCCTTGGACTTAAAGGCGCGCGCGGCGAAAATCGGTGTTTTTACAGAAGTCAAAATATAACTTAGATCTTAGAATTAAGCGGAATTATACCATCTGCAAGAAGAAAGAAACCCGTTGAACCTATTGCGGAAACTTGCAACAATTTCGTCAATAATTGTGTAATCACTTCTTTTGAAAGGATTTTTTTTCCTTTACACTTAATCAGCAGTAGGAATAATAACCAATATAACAATTATCATGTCTAGAATTCGTGGAATGATGAAATATACARCTTTCGTTTAAGAAAAAAAGCATTTTGTTATTCTGGGATAAACCTTTGTTTCTTCATGATTAATTGAATCATAATCAAATTGATAATTTGAAATAAATCCAATTAAATTGCATTTTATAAGCAGAACAATCCATTGAACACGCGAGGTATTTCAAAAATAATTAGAAAATTCTATTACCATGATTATCAGAGTCTTTAGGATGGGTTTTCTTGCTAATGTTGGAGACCGTAAAGTACCGAAAGCATCATTTCAGTGATTATTACTCGATTCGCAAACAACTTATCGAGTTTGGAAAGTAATGGAGACATTGACTTTATAATCTTCCGTTAATATTTCTAAAATATGTCATTTAAGTTGTATTTACTCAAAAAAACCTCATTCAAGAAAGGATAATTCTCGAAAATAGCACACACTAAATGGTAGGCAGGTTTCTTTGTGAAACGTGTTAGAAAAATTAAAACGACCACCTTTCTAAGCGAAGGTGAGATTGTTTACGTAAGAGTTCGTGTGCAATTGTTTACACTGTTTAGTCATTTGTCCTTATTGAGTTACTTTACAAGTGTTTTCCTGCTCTGTATTTTACCTAAGGTTTCATACGCCAGCGCCTGCTAAATTTTGAGCTAATTTTGCAATTAGTTTATGAAGTCGAAAAGAAATGTGCTAGCTGCGCTGGTAGACGCGTGAACCATTTGTTCTTTTATTCTATGATATGATTTTTAGTCATCWATACATCTAGTTGAATAATAAATTCTTCTGCTTTGTTACGGTTATTCGTATTCTTGTAAATCCACTGGTCTGGTATTCTATAAGCTGATTAAGAAAGTCACGAAGCCAGGCAACTCAGCTTACATCTTCTTTGCTKGCAATAACGAAATGTAAGATATGAGATCCCAAGAACCTAGCAATAAGCTACAATATGGTATAGTTTTTACTGCGTAGTTATTTTGGGTYATCTGGTTTTCCGAACGTATTGCTTCAGAAATATCTAAGGCAAAGACCCAGAACATGCCAAGGTAGTCTGCTATCTACCCCAAATCAGAGTACCCTAAATTGAACACTCCATAATATCTAAACATTTTAAGTGTTTTGTTATTGAAGCGAGAAAGCTCTATCAGAGACGAACAAATAAATGAGACCACGACACCTGTTTGCCTTCTAAACTCAAAAGATCAACTCTCTCTTATCACAAAAAGTGCTTTCAGCCGTTTTATTCGTCCAGTAGTTTCAAGATGCCTTGACTAGATCTTATCATAGTTCTATATATAAATGAACACAGAAAACTTCTGATTGCGTGAACTAACTCAAAAAGCGAAGGACGCACCGGCGGCCGACGCCATAGATTCACCGAGACACAATAGCTCGCTCACAATTCAAGATTGACGAAAAAAAAGCTTTAAATGCCAGCAATTAGCTCCGGAAGATACGATCAATTGTCGTTTTGATAAAGGACTTTGCTTGTGTACATATAGAATTGGTTGTAAAATAGTCGGACTTTGTTTGTGTTGTTGGTTTTAATGCCSGTTTTTAGGGTTTTTTAGAAAGTCAACGATGTGATTATATACATTTAAGCTAGTAACAGTGAAAGTGACTACCCGCTTTACCAAACTTACAGTAAATTGAATTTTAAAATTCTAAACCTTCTCAGTAAGAAAAAAGCCTCCAGCCAAAGTTATCTATTTTACATTTACTCCTTGCAATTACCAAATTTAGTTCTAATTTTTTTTTTTCACCCTATATAAAGAGAAGAATATTTGTAAGTCAACGTTTTCTGCCCGGCATCAGAGCGGCATGTATACTCAATAAAAATCTGGTCCTCTGTCGCTAAATCAGTAATTACAAAACTAAGATGAAAAATCAAGAGAAGGCAACTGGAGAAGTGACAACTATATACAACTTTTGATATTATAGTTCTCAAAAATATTTAAACGACGCTTAGAAAAGAATTAATTTTTCAGTTGCTAGAAAGTATTTTGGGTTTAGATCAAGCACTATAGGCCTGGATGAAAATACAACACACTACATTGTCTCCCATTTGGAATTTGACAAACATTGTCCTGCTAAACTGAATTTGTCGAGCGCTACAATGTTTCCGAGTTAGCTGTCTGCATCGGATACATGCAGCATGTGTGTACAGTTAGCGCTACCTTAATTCTCGTATACGGTAGCCTTATAAATCTAGTTGTGTTTATATAACAAAACCTTGCTCTGATTCGATGGAAATGTTCYTTATTCTGATATTATTATGCAATGGGCGTGTTGCACAAAAGGTGAATATTTCCAATCAGTAAGTAGTGCGGCCGGAGATTTTATAACTGGTTATATGCCCGGTCGATCTCTGGTTATATACCGGGTAAATAAATGGTTATGTACCGGGTCAATATCAGGTTATATGCCGGGTTAATAAATAGATATTAACTTTGAATTTTWTATGTAGAGCAAGTGTGAGATATACAACTCCAAAATAACAATGAAAACCGATTCAATGATAAAATACAGAATGATGAACCCTTATTTCCAGTGGATAAATTCCAAACTATAACTTTGTATATAGCTTAATTTKGTGTATAGCCGAATAGGTACAATGTAGGTATAGTATACTATATAGTACTCTTCATTGCTTTCTTTGTTCTTGTAATAATCATCCCATGCGACACACTTAGATATATTGCGAAACTGCGCCGATTTGGCTTATTGCAATGTTATTGTGACCAACAACAGAATTTTGTGTTAAAATTACACTTTGTTCACAAAGAAGAAACAAGTCCAGCACCATACAAGGTCACATGCAGCAGGCCCGTAGGAAGCTCCACTGAAATTAGTAACAACACTTCTGGATCCAATTTTTTGAA